TGGTAGTAAAAAAAAGAAAATGTAAGTGTGCAGTGTGTAGTAATTTTTGAGATGGGAAAGTCATAATGTCTTTTGATTCCTCATAATCTGAATGCTAAAGAAAAATATTTATCCTATGTTCTGCTTTCATTTACATCCCTGCAAATCCTCTCTAACTTCACTGAGTTTGGTGGAGTTGCTCAAGATTTTATAGCAGCTAAGGGAAGATAAGAAGCATTGCTGTTTCTCTTGGCTTCCAAGTCTGGAAAAATAAATAGAACTTTTTTTTTTTTTTTTTTGTCTTATGGGTAAATCATATGGATACCTAATTGCAGTTTGTAAAGTACTTGGACATTCTTGGTATTGTATATAGCCGTTCCTTGTAAATATAAAATTATTGCTGTTGCCAAGAAACATCTTGCTGTGCAAAAGAATAAACTAATTCAATTTTGAGTTTTGTTACCCTTTATTTTATGTTAAGTTGGTTGGAGGAGAATGCTTTTTGCATATTGGAAAAACAGTTTTTTAATTTTGGCTTACATTTAATTTTTAAATGTAGCTTGCATTTGTGACAATTGCACTTGTACACATCACAGATCCCTGAACTGCTTTTTCATCTAGTTTGGAGACAGTGGTGTCCATTACATCTAACAGAATACATCTCATTCCTAGGATTATCTGAAGACAAAGTTTTGACCCTTCTTTATTCATAGCTGACAATTCCTACCCCTACGATCTGAGACTTTTAGATAACCTTAAGAGCTGAAGCTACAATTCAAGAGTTTGTCATCACAGTTTCTTTTACTTGAGAATTAAAAATTTCTGCGTCTCTATCAAATTAAATAATTAAATAAAAGGAATGCTAGGGTTTTTCTTCCCATTTTTTTCACAAATTTTTGAAGTATTTTTATTGATATACTAAGTATTTTTTTTACCATTATGCTTGTAGTTAACACTGCAGTTGAAAACCAAATGCATGTTCTTTAATCCATCTGTACAGCTGGGTGCCTTTGGATGACGGATGTTTTTGCGTTCAAGGAGCAGCCACACAAATTCATGAAGGAGAACTGGGGAAAGTTGCTAAATATCTAGAAACCAGGTGTAGCTGAGGAAGTCTCTGAATTGCTGGTCGGCTGATGCTCAGAGTGCTCAGGAGAAGCAGGAGGTGTTCTCCATGTCTCCTCCAGCCACCTGCTTCTCACCACAGTTGCACCCTTAGTCTTAGCCAGGCCATCCGCTCTAGAGTGAAGTGTAGACATTGGTTGTGAGGTATTTTATTGCTTATTGGCCCAGTTGCTCTTGCACTCCTCATCTCTGAAACTGGTCTGGGTTGTGCCAAGAATGCTCCTAGAGCCACCATGCTTATCTTTCACCATCAGAGGGAATTTTCATTGCTTGGAATCGGTGTTCAGCTCTGCGCTGGCAGAAGCTAAAGCAGTCCCAGGGTGAATTTGTCTTAGTAACTAATCCTTGTTACCTCCCTGCGAGGTGATTTGCTAAGTATTTGACAGATGGGGAGGCACAGGAGGGAGGGATGGTTTCGGAGCTGGGATTAGAGCTCTTATGTTCCAGGTTTCTGCTCCTGTGCTCTGCACAGCCATGAGGCTCCCCTCTCCAACTTGCTTTTTGTTTGGGTCTTGGGGCAAATTCCTGTGGAATTTTATTAATAGAGACAAGGAGGGAATAATCGTGTTGTCCTAGTCGTACACCACCAAAATTCATCTTTTATTTCTAGGGTACTGTGTGCCATTTAATGCATGCTGAAGGAGACCCTGAATAGCCCCAGCAACCCGTGGATGTGGTGTGGGCCAGCCTTCTTATTTAGCTCAGTCCAAACAGACACCGAACTTCGAGGCATTCCTCTCCTCCCACAGTGAAGAGACTCTGGGATTTTTTTTTTTTATACCACACATGGTTTCCCTCCTACATTTTCCTCCCATGTCAGATATTCATACCCCCTTTAATAACCAGCAGGGGGATCATTACATTGAGCTACTGCCAAATGCATAATGACTGCTGCCTTTGCCTTGCACAGTCACTGCACTACTGATATCCAATTCAGCACTGTAAAGTGCTTAGGGCTACCTTGGGGATGTGCTATATTAAACCCAACTATTCTAAATCCTATTTAATATAAAGAGATTGTGTGTGGGGGATGGGAGAGGCTGGAGAGAGATTTAAAATTGTCATTAATCAACTATTTTCAACAAGAAAAAAAAACCTGATCATTTAGGGTCCAATTCTGTCACTCTTAAGCCATAAATAGTCCCCCTGATTTTTTTTAATAGGGGTACATGAGGGCCAGCATTCTGCTTACACCAAGGGAGGCAGGATCAGGTCCTACAGGAACTACAGCCAAGGCGGCAAGTTTGTGGTGAAAAGCGGAAATCGGGACATGCTTCATATCTGACTAAAAATAAAGGTACACATAAACTTGTAAAAGACAACATTTTTATTTGAATGATATGACAGAGCTGCCACAGGAGTGTTACCTGCTATAAAGAAAGCTTAAGAATTATTACCTTTATTAGACCAGTGACACTGAGCTTTAGCCATACATTTCTAACTTCTGTCCCTCTACAGAGACAATTTTCTTTTCTTAAATAAACTGTCATGCTAGTGTTAATATATTGTTGGCTCCCTCATACTCTGAGAATACTGCTGATATAAAACATGTATATGTTAGATTGGTAATAGTATCTTTAGTGTAGCTGACTAGAACAAATGTGTTTCCCTCATGGCTGTGCTAATGTGATAAAGGAAAATTGGCTGTTCATCAGCTTTTGGCTGGGTAAAGACAGTAGAGATGGAACCACATTCTTTTTTATGCATTAATACCACTGAGAACTTTTCACTAGTTATATTTCATGTGCGGGCATGTTGTGCAAAGATGTTGTAAAACATGAGATAATGCTACAAATAACAAAGTAGAAAAGCCTGTATCTTTTATGATGATAACAGTCAAACACCAAATGACAGTAACAGGCTGTAAAAAATGTGATGCTGAAAAAAATGCAGTGTAACCACCATATACACATATGCTTGGGCTCTTGCAAATAGAGTGTCAGATGTTTAAAAGGGCTTTGAATTAAAACTAAGTATTTCTTTTGTGTGTTTAGGTCATTGATGTGTGAACACAAAAGCTAACTTAAAATGAAGAGAGATGTGTTTTGAGTGGTAAACTCATGTACAATAACTTTTTGAACAAATCTCAGTGCTTAGTAATTATGATAATAGCCTTCAAATTTCCATCAGTGGAAGAGCAATAAATTTTCATGTCTGAATTTGGGAAATACTGACTGAATCTGGAAACAACAGCAATAAAGCTCAGAATATATATTATTATTTGAACATGTAATTTAAGGAGAAAAATGCATCTGAATAGTCTTCTGTAAAACCTAAAGAAAAAGAAGAGACAAAACAAAACTCCATCTCATTGCATATTTTCTTTCTTAAAATACTGATCGGCTCAATGCCTGAGGCACAGATGATCATCTGAACTGAGATGTATAGATAATTGTGTCTGTTCATCTTGGTCTGAAATTTGAAAGACTATTGGTAGAATAACACTTTGAATGCTTATGTTGTGGTTTTCAAACTGATTTTTTTTCAGGTCCTGGCTATCTTCTTTGCAACAAAATATTCTGGCTTGTAAGCCTTCTGTTTATCCTTGCACATCCGTTGTTCTTGCGGAGACAATTATTCTGGCCTTATTTTGGTTTGATGGGAATGGATACCAAGACAGGCTAAAACTCTCTTGCTTTTCTTGGCCTCTGTAGGCATGATTCACCCAGCATCCATTTATGTCTGTGATCCCCTTTTCTGCAAAATGGAAATAACAATCTGCAAATTGACAACAACAGAATGTTTTGAAATGTGAAGGCTACCAGGCTGCCCTTTCAAATAAGCCCCGTGCAAGCCAAACGTCATTAAAATTGAGAAATTTCAGTTTTTGAAAATAAATCACTTACTGAAGTGAGCAAGATTTTTATTCTGTGTTATTTGTCTCTGACTTATTTACTATTTGAGAGAGAGTTCAAAAATCTTAAATGAGTTCATGTTAGTTTTTCTAATTAACTTAATGGGAAACTGACTATAAGTCATGATGAGTGTGGTTTTCCTTTTGTGTGTTCCTGTATTTACAAGTGGAAGTATTGACTTCATAAGACTGGAAGATGGCTACATGTTATTAAACCTTTTGTAGTCTTATGCCAGCTAAACGTGAGGATTTTTAACACAGAACAGTCCTTTGTAAAAGCTCAGCATCTTGTGACTTTGTGGAGCTGGGAGAATGCCATAAAGGATTTCTATGAATGTTAGCTCAAATTTAAAATGAATTGGCAGGGAAGGGAACGCCTACGGAAAACAGTACCCTGCAGTGCCAACTGAGTGCATATTCCTTGCCAAAGGTTCCCCTGATCCGAGGGAATTACCCACTGGCTGTGGAGCAGACGTAGCGAGTTCCTCTCCCATTCCCCTCAGCCCTTGTGAGAAGCAACATGCTGGGCTTGGGGAGGGGTTTTGGAGGGGTGTTAGAGGCCTGCCTGAGCTGTGCTGTGCTTGGTTATCCTGAGCATGGTAGCGAGTCCCTCGAGGCCTGGAGGAGCTGATGTGTATGAGAGCCGTGACAGCTGTAACATGTGCCCGTGGCCTGAAGTGCTGAAGTAACTGCAACCAGCCTCGTACCTCGTGCAACAGACCCATCTCTCTTTCCTCTGCCTCTCCTTCCCCCTTCACTCTGCCAGTCACTGTATTGTACATCCTTCTTTGCCTCGACCACTACAGAAATTTCATATTCTACCCATCTGAATAATGATTTTATTACCTGGATTGCTAACGGACAGAAAAAGGTAAGTACTTTCAATAGGCACCAAAGCACTCACACACATACAAAAAAAGACATGCCACACGTGTAGGTCAAAGTAATGTTAATGGCTAATCAGTGACAGATGCAACATGTACAGAAATCAAGATGATTGTATAATGAAGCACCTTTATGCCTATTTACATTGATTCTGTAGGTGCATCGCAGCAGAATTAGTTTCTTCTTAAACGGCTGGGAAGATGACAGTACTGCTTTTGATTCAAGGATTCTGGTGGGAGCAATTGCAGATACTGATGTTGAGGGTGTACTGCAAATTGGACAAAGCTTCACAGGTAAACCTTGTAATGTTTTAGTGGAACGCATCAGCATTTTCAAAAATAAGATGTGCTCGTTGTGGATAAAAATCCATGTGTGAGTGATTTTTAAGTTATCAATATGTTGAGAAGTAATATATTTCTGAAAGAAAAAAAATCCTATTGTAATATTAGCTGTCTCAGGAGATTGGCTGAAAGATAAGTATTGAGTAGATAGTCCTGATGGTGCATAATTTATTATATGTGTTACTGCATTTGAGTAGACTTTCTGCACTCTGCAGAACATTGGTCCTTAAGCAACGCATTCCATTAATTTAATATCCTGAGTAAATACATGAAACTGTTTCAAGATGGAATTATGCATGGCCACTAGACTGCTTTCTTGTCAATTTTGACTCTTGATTTTCCTCTGTTATATTAACACTCATGTAAACTCACTGCCAAAATGAGGGTCACTTGGTCTCCAGCAAGGCCTGATACAGTGTTACCCTTTATCTACATCTGGAATTTCGTATGTCTTTCCGTACCGTAGGACCATTGCAGAAGTGCTGCAGGATGTTTTGTTGCTTTTCACAAATTCTTGGCTCTGCCAGTGTAAGAACACTGAGCAGGAGCACTGTGTCCTCTTCGAGAATATGCAGAATTTGAAGCCAAACCTAAATATCACTGTATGTGGCTTAAACGTTATTATGGTGTTGGGCAACAAAGACTTTCAGTGTTCCTGTTTCATAAAACTCATATTTGGAAATGAGCTTTGCTTTGATTCTGAATACTGAGTGAGCATATAAAAGAAAGGAATATTTTTAAATGCCTTTTATCTTTATTGTATAAATTGATAGGTACAGTTGTACCTACTGTATCTTTTCCCTAATTAGAGGTGGCACATGGACCGGCTCATTACTCCTGTCTAATGAGCCGGTCCTTGTGCCACCTCTCTAATCAGAAAAGAGATGGGTACAAAATGTTCTTATAAAGTTATTATAAATCATTCTTTTTTATCAAAAAATTAAGTCACTGCCCTCTATAGTTTTGTCTGGGTCCAAGATGGTTTCATTCAGGAGGGGTAATTGTGCAAGAGAGATCTGAGAGTGCTGAATTAAAGGTGCTCTCATGCAGTGCAAAGCTGCTTTCTGCTCAGTGCAATTAGATTATTTATTTATAGCATATTTCCTTAGGTTTAGAGCAATTTGTTGGAAGAATGCAAGATTTTCGATTTTACCCAGTGGCACTTACAAACAGGTAAATGACCTTTATTTTTGTGAAAATAAGAGTGTGATGAAGAGAAAGAATGCATAACAATATACAATATTAGTCTCAAAGTATGATGTTTTGTTCCTGTCTTCAAAAGAGGATTGCTTGTGATGACATAGTTTACTGCCCATGGCCTCAAACATGACTTCAATCTAAACAAGCTTGATTTAACACATTAAATTATTGACTTTATTTTATTCATTTGAATTGTTGTTTTAATATATATATATCACAATTCAAATAATGACTGTGGGCTTCCCTTGTTAGAGTGTTGTCTTTGTTATAACGTGGCTTAGTGTCTATTTGAGCAGGCAGTAGATCGAGTGGCTACATTCCGATGCTTATAAGCTAGTTAGGTGCCCCTAACTCCTGATTTCTTGTTCTGACATTTGAGTGGGTGCTGATAGTTTGGGTGAGGTTCCCGAGCTTCTGCAGAGCTCCTGGTAGTCTGTGGGCACTCTCTTTAAGGCATTTGTGGCAGAGCCCCCCTGCTCTGCGGTCCTGCTCCTTCTTGCACATGAGCACTGCTAATGTTTCAGGCTGGACCGAGGCCTTGTGTGCTCGCCTGTCTGCGAGCGGGTGTGATCACAAATTGCTTCTTCCCTACAGCAAGGGTTAGTGTTGAGCAGGACCTCTCTGTTGTGGGTTTTGCTCAGAAGCTGCACTTCCTTTACTCCCGCCTCCTCCTCGGAAGCTTTCACACCTCTTTCTAATGGGAGAGGAAGGTTTGAGGGAGCTGCCTCTGAACAGGGCTGAGCGGGCTGGCTCTTTGGGTGGGGTGACTGCTGGAACAGCCCCACACCTCCTGGTGATGTAGAGCCCAGCGTTTATTTGCTTGACAGGGTGTGTGTGCCTTCTGCAAGCACACGCACAACGTACTGATCAGAGCACCAGTGCTACCGGTCCAGCTTAGCTCCCCAACCCCGCGATCCAGGGGAACAGGACAGATGCTGCAGTGGGTCGGCGCGCTCGCTTTGTGCCTGACAGCTCAGCTCCGATGCTTAGCAGTTCATGTCCTCAGGCTTCAGCTTCTCCGTGGTGTCAGGCATCCATGTATGGTATTCCTAACACCCTTTCCCGTCCCCCTCCTCCCCCGGCCAAAGGCTGTTGTCTTAACTGTTTATTGCTTTTCTATATTAGATGGTTGGCATAAGCTGCCAATGACTTCTCTAGCTCAGTCCACGTAGCCCTGGGATAATTGCTTTGACTTCCTCCATCCCCAAGGCTGTAGTGGTTGCCACAGCGGTTTCTGTCGCCCTCCAGCCACCCTTCCTAGCGTGTTACAAAGAGACGCTACCTTTGTTAGTCATCCAGCTCATGCTGGATTAATCCAGGCAGTTCAAGCTGGCCAGAAGTAGTCAGGTCCTATTTGTCTGTGTGATGCTTCAGGGTAGGCTACGCTCAGTGACACTCGTGACTGTAGAGCTTAAGGCCACTTAATGATAGTCTTTCAATAAGATGAAGGGTAGTTTCCTAGGAGCTCAACTGTCTGCAGGACATTATGATGAACTGATCTCCTGTGAATTTAAAGTATTAATATGAATCATGGTTCCAAGCTAGATGAAGATCATGCTGGCTGTATATTCCTTCAGAGGAATCCTTGTCAAATTTTTTGGACTGCAATTTAAGTAGAGAAATAATGAGTATAGTTTAGAAATTAAAAAATACCAAGTGTTGTGAAAGATGATTTAATAGACAGTGTTTTATCCGCAAATATCTTTTTTTCAAAAATGTATCTGGTATAAGCTTTGAATCAAAGTCTTCCTCTGCATATCAACTAATTAAAATAGTCTGCAGCAATTCTGGAACTTTGGTTCCTATAAAATTTGTAGTGGCAGCCAGCAAGTATAGATTTGCTAAATAAAAATAAAAGGCATATATTATTAAATAGTGATAAAAATCTGCTCTTTCTAGGGGTCACAAAATCCTTCTTTTACACCAGAGATGACAGAATTTTAGATGACCTGACCATGTTATCCGCTGATCTACTTATTCATTTCAATTCATGAAGTGAGAACTAAAGCTAACCTTTAACATAAGATATGAGAATTCAGTGGGGTGACCACAAAAGGGCAGTAGCCCAATTTAGTTGACGGTTCTACTAAAGTTAAAGCTGGAAATATTTTTGTGCACAGTTTTTAAGATGACATTTTTCAAACTGGAAAGATAGGAAGATTTGAGGATAAGCATAACATTCAACTCATCTAGCAGTTTTATGGTTACAGGCAATATGTCAGTCCTGTGGTGTGCTGAAGAGAGGTAAACAGGCTGATGTCAGACACAATGCCATAATAAAATATTGATAGGGTTTTTCCTTTTTGCATCTACCACTGCTTCCCTCCTAACTAGCTGTAGGCACCTGAGCAAGCAGCATGCATGCCCTTGGCTCCGTATATGTGTGTGGAGCAAGGAAAGGAACTCGGAATGCTTCATTATGGACTGCTGCTAAAGGTGCCTGCCGATTACCTTTGATCAAGTAGGAACCTTGCTGGCTGGTTGGCACATTTATGTAGGATGAAACAAGGCTGTAGGGTTTCTAGAGTAGTCTTAGATGTATTTTGTTTAACCTATTAACCTAGAGGCAAAAAGTACCACTTGTCATTTTTTGTCGTGTATATCATTGCTCTTTCATATGCCACGACAGAGACATTTTGGAAGTATTCTCTGGAAAATTCCCTCACCTGCACACGCAGTCCGAGTGCCGCTGCCCCGGGAGCCATCCCCGGGTGCACCCGCTCGTACAGAGGTACTGCATCCCCAACGGGGCAGAGGATACCACCAACGACCGAGTGCTGAGGCTGGACGCAGAGGCCCATCCTCTGCATTACATCAATGACAATGATATTGGCACCACCTGGATTTCGTCTGTGTTTACCAATACTGCAGGTCTGGATCATGGTGTTTCTATCACAATAGATTTACAAGATGGACAGTATCAGGTAATGGAAAGATTACATTTGCTATTTATTAAATCAAAACTAAAAAGAGTTTTAGTATGAAGTTAATTTATAAAATCTGAAGGAAATTCGAACCTTATGCTTGCACCTTACGCTTAGAGTTATGCTGCACACTGGCGTGTCCTTAGGGATTTCTGTTGCATAGATGTGGAGGTGGTAGTTTGCCTTCCTGAGGTGGGGAATGTGATAAACAGGCAAGAGGATTCTGAACAGAGGCCAGACTGCAACCTAACCCTGTGCCATTGGGCTGGGGAGTATCAGGTGGCCTTGGAAGGAAGAACACGTCAGTCCTGGGGCTGCATTTACAATGAGGGCGCTAACAAATACTAGTGACATTTGTTCTGTCCAGCTTGGTTTTGTTTGTTGTTAGTGAGGTTTAAAGGTCTGTCAAGTTTTAAAACTTTTTTTTTTTTTTTTTTTTTGGTGCATATATATTTTCCCAAGCAGTATTTTGGGAGAAGTCCTCTTCATTGCAAAACAGGTATTTGATTGGATTCCAAGCAGAAAATAGGGTTATTAAAAAGAGGGAAGGAGAAAAATAAAAAAACTGTTATCAGACAAACAACCCGTCAAATATTCGGCAACACAAAGCTAAGCCCGTAATTATTTTTTTCAAAATGAATAAAGGTACTGTAAAAAAACATGTGCTTATCTATCTAGTGTGTTTTCAAATGGTTTTCAAGAAGAAGCGAAGAATTCTGATGGAGCAGATCAGTTGCTGCGTAATAATATCTGAGAAATCAGAGCTTGTTTAACAAAAAGTAACTTGCCTTTAATTTAGAATGCATAAAGCAAAATTCTGTGGGTGGAAAAAATATTATCATATTGAAATAAAACAAAATATTTATATTGTCATTGTTTTATAGTGCAGTTACACTTAATATTTGTTCCAAAATTCATTATCTTCTTGTAGGTATTCTATATTATACTTCAGTTCTTTAGCCCACACCCTGAAGCAGTAAGAATTGAAAGAAAAAAAAGAAATGATCTAAACTGGGAAGACTGGCAGTATTTTGCTAAAGATTGCAGTATTTTTGGAATGGATAACAATGGATCTCTGGAAAAACCAGACTCTGTCAACTGTCTCCAACTTCCTAGGTATGAGTGGGTTTGTATCTGCATAACACAGATGTTTGGACAAGTAATGTCCTAACACAATTCATTTCCATGTCCCAAGGGAACAGAATCTTTTAATTTGGTGTACTCATTTCTTATATGTATGTAGAAGTATGTAGAAAAATATCCAAAATATGACCTTTCTGTTGAAGAATTCTGAAAGTTCACTGGCGTTTTTATCAGATTTTTAATACTGAGAAACTTGACATAGTTGATTTCTGTTATTTTCCTGAACTAGACTCCTGAAATTTTATATGTTTGTGTCTTGACGGACTATTTATTGGCAGTGGAGTTAGGAGTTGACTCCCCAAGGATTATGGAAGTAATCCTACTGTTCTCTGGAGTGCAACTTGCTTTAGATCCCGTTTGTGTAATGCACGATGCAGAGGGAAACTTCACAGAGCCAGTCACTCAGCCCTATTGCTGACTGCCATAAACATGTGAGATATAAGTTGAGAATTGTATCTCAAAGCTCTTTAATCTTGCTAATGGAAACCAAAATAAAACTTGGGAGGGAAATGGGGGCAGGTAAAGCCTCCATCTTTGACAAGAAACTGACCTTTACCTCAGAAACCTGTTAGTAGGCAGTTAGCATGTTTAACTTATATATGCACAGACTTGTGCACACATGCACGCATATATAAATATGCATGCACATATGTGTTTATATATGTTTATTTTATATATTTTAATAAATCTATTTTACTTTCATGCTTATATATATTTTATGTATTTATGCAAATGCATCACCCCCTGCCTCATTTCAGATGCCAGTCAGCATTAGACTTGTTTAGTACTTGGCTGGAAGTCAGTCAGAAAATACAATACCAGGTGCTGTAGGCGTTTTGCCTTTTTTGCTGTTTCACTTCTGCTGCCTCACTAGGACTTTTCAGGTGTCAGCATTTTTGTCTGTTCTCAAAGAACTGAGTATTCTAAGGAGAATAGCATAAGGTCATTTGTGTTACACCAGTTTTCAACAAAGAACTTCAAACTTTATTGCTCATCCTTTGAGCAGAGGGTTAGAGGAAAAAGCAAGTCTTTTAAGCCAAACATTTTTTGGATGAATGACCCAAACTAGGTTTGAACTCATTAGATTTCAATCAAGAAGTCAGATTTGCATAAATTCTAAGAAGATGTTGGGCTGAAGTGTGAACTCTATCCATAAATGTTGCATACGTAGTGCTGTTTCACTTCTTAAGTTACATGACCTGAATTATGATAGGAAGTGATATGAATGAATGCTTTTTAGGTACTGCTGAGGTACGGCTTTGTTTAAAAGACAACAAACGCCCTGCAATGGTCACTACTCTATATAGCTGAAGAGGAGTTACTGTAGGGAATAATGTGCAATGTTGCAGCAACAGGATAGCAGGGTATAATCTGCGATCTTTAAAGAAGGGGAAGGTGTTTTTTATTTTAAAACAAAACTAGTTTCACTTACTCTCATAGCCACATACCTGTAAGCACTAAGGCATGTTTATAGTTTCTCTCCAGGACTTAGACACCAGCGTCCTTGCACACCAGTGGCGTGATCAGGACTCCTCCTTGGAATGGCATGGAGGACAAGTGACCCTTGTTTTGGAATCCTTGTTGTGCTTCCTGGGTCTTTGCTTGGTGACCACACGTTAATTTTGAATGCACTTTCTTTCGTATTCTTTAGGAGCTGGAAAGTGATTAAGGTTTTTGTGTCTCCATGGTGTCTCACCTCTATCAGTTGATGGGATTATCAGAGGCTTGAGTGTGTTTAGTTTGAGCCTCCTTTTAAGGACTCGTGCATGTAGGTGATCTAACATTTTGAAGACCTGCTTGTCAGTTCCACAGTCTTCCTGCTGTTCTTTCCTGGTGCTTTCACACTACCACATTCTAGTTCAGGCAATTCATCCTCAGCAAGTCCTGCTCATTGCTTAATTCTGCCTAGTGAGTATACGAATATGAGACGCCATTCATACTCTGTGGGCAAGCAAGGGGTTTGTATGGTACTTGCTCACTGGGCTTTGCTTGGCTATCCTTCTGCTTCTAGTTGTACTCTGCACCCTGCCTTGTTACACTGAACTCAGTTCCACTAAATTCACTGGAAGAGTAGTGTATTTCTAGTTCTGCCACCTATCAAAATGAGATGAGAATAGCTTAGTGACTCTGGAATTCAAAATATAATTGTTCCTGTATGTTTTATATATGTATTTAGCAGACAAATATTTAACAATGTGGGCATGATAATTTAAATGAATCCCATACGTCATTAGATGTAACTTATTCAGTGACATCTGCCCTAAATTTGCAAAATATCTACACTTCATAATTTGAACTTGTCTTTTAGAGGCTTTACTTTTAGTTGGAAACTCAGGATTTGGAGAAGAGTATTACAGTTTGGGGAAAACAGAGTATGCTTCTTACACTCCTGTATTTGTATTCAGGTGAATATGTAAAATATGTGACATTTTGGTTTACACTTGTCTTCCTCTATTAAACAGCTTTACTCCATACTCACATGGAAATCTGACTTTTAGTATTCTTACCCCGGAACCAAATCACCGTCCTGGTTACAATGATTTTTATAATACTCCATCTCTCCAAGAGTTTGTAAAAGCTACACAAGTGAGGATTCATCTCCGTGGCCAGTATCATACAAGTGAGCCGTGGGTGAATTTCAGGCATAGATACTATGGAATTAATGAAATCACAGTCAGTGGAAGGTGGGTATTAAGGTGTTACTGGAATTCTTCCCCACCCATCACTACCTCCACCTGCTAAAACCATGCAAAAATGTGTAATTACCTGCCTAAAATTTAATGGAGTGTTTCTGTTTTTGCATTTATGAATGAGAAAAGGAATTTTGTCTTAGTCAGTGCATCGAGTTTGAAGTAATTGGTGTACTTTTTCTTACCATTGGCTCACATGTTATTTTAAAATTAATTATACTTATTACACAAATCTGTCAAAAGCAATCCTTTCCTTGGAATTACCAATGCCTCGAAGCAAAGGCTTATGATTGAAACCACAGCTTATGCTTTACTTCAGTAGCTCTTCCAAGTTTCATTATAGATTCCCAAAGATGGCAATTTTAACAGTCTTAATGCAGAGCTCATTCTTTGTTTTTAGGCTGCACTTTTCCATTTAAAACTGGGCAGCTGTCAGTAAAAGTGTTACATTATCTGTGACTGACAACTTTATTGTATGTGATAAGTGTCCCGTCTTGTGAAAGGACTAATTATGCCCTGTAAATAATATGCAAATTTAGCAATGAAGTAGTCTCCAAGAAGCATATGGTGCAGATTTTTCTTAATAAGTATTATTTCTGAAATTATTTCGGTAGTCAGGATCTTATTTTGAGAGGAAGCACCCTACCAGAGGTCACATTTACCTTAAACTTATTTTCTACATTAAATTTTAATTAATGATTTAGCTGTGTTATGACGATGTTTTTACTAAAACAGCTACAGTCTCGATGACTATATAACACAAAAATCATTTCAGCTGTAGTGTGCAAAGCTATCATACCTCCAGAAGAGAAGACCTTCAGGTGCAGTAGGATGCTGACTATCTAGGCTAATGCTCTACAAAGAGTTCAGTAAGAACTGCACTTTTTAGCTGAGGTCTAAATGGACTAAACTGTATGATAAAACTAGATACAGATAAGATTGTCTTGGAAAAACTCTTGTCACACTGGAAAGCTAAATATTGATGGATAATAATGATATATTTAATAAAGTTTTGCTTATATGTACTGTTCTTGTTCACTATTGTGTATCATAACAGCAGCTCTAATATATGCTCTTTTTTGTTACTCTGAGAAACAGTGTTTGCCAGTTAGAACTGTATTGAATAGAGAAATCTTTTGTACTTGCACTTAAGAACATTCTCCTCAGTTTTTTATTTGTTCTTAACAAAGAACCAGGCTATACTTTCAGTAAGACATAAATTGTCTTCATGATGATGTTGTATAGTGCTGCAAAGATATGTTCCCGTATTATTTTTGTTTTCTTCAGTACCTATTTTTCTTTCAGATGTAACTGTCATGGCCACGCCGATAATTGTGACACGGCCTTGGAACTGTACAGGTGCCTGTGCTTCAAGGAAAGCTACACAGAAGGAAATAATGTGAGTCTCTCCTTTGCCTGTGTACTTGTCCTACCAACAAACAGCCTCAGAACTGAGATTTTAATGCATAGGAAGCATGTGTGTATGCACGCTAATATTCTCAGTTTTATAAGGATACTCTCTGTGTATAGACTTTGTATTAACTCTCCAGCCCAAACCATTCCATCACAGAACTTTAGGAGTGCTGAGATTAGAGGTTTCTTATTATAATAATATATCAGCTTGCAAAAAAATCAGATGAAAATCTGAACTTAGACTGGCAGCACCCAATAAAGAGTAGGACTGTGTCTACTGCAGCAAATAGTAGAAAGATCTTTAGTAGGATCTGGACACTGGAAAAAAACAGTTTCTAGTTAAGAGGGACTTTGAGATGTGGTGCGTAGGTAAAACTTGTCAAGTGCAAAATTTAAATTTTCCTCCTAATTTAGTAATTCTTGGCTTGGGGTGAACCAAAATGCACATTTTCACTAAAAGTCAGTCTTCCAGAGAAATATACAGACAGTATAGAATAATGTTGCTGGATTGTGCTTACTTCTTGCAGCAAAGTAGCTGATTTTCAGAAGGAAAGTTAGCTGATCTAAATAGTAGTAAAGCAAGTGTAAATTATATAATCTGGAAAGACATAAAAATGGACAGTAGGTGTGTTTGGAGGAAGTGATGGTGTGCAGAGAAGGGAAAGGAATCAAATTACCAGGAGTCTGATTGCTCAGATGTGGCTCTTGTAAGTGCTGCTGAGGAGAGTGACCATCCCAGCAGGTGTTATTTGATTGAAGAACTAGAGGGATTGGCTTTTCTCCCACTTCTCATGAGGTGTGTTAAGAATTAAGAATTTCTTTCTTAATGTCCTAAGAAATGACCTGTGGCATGCTTTTCTTATTATTTTGCAAGTATGAAGTTGGGGCATAGTATATTTGTGTTATCTATATCAAACGCTGGGGCAAATTGGAAGACTACATTGAATTGCTTGTGACACTCTGCGCTTTTCCTTCTGCAAAATGTTTTCACTTGAATTTTCTTCCCAAATATGTGCATGAAAATGTTTTCACTTGAATTTTCTTCCCTTCTTTTAAAGGTATATCATATTTTGAATTATACCATATTTATAAATTTGTAAACTTCAACTGACGTTAATTGAAATACAGTATAGTCTTTATCACTATGTCTTTCTGTAATTGCTAGCCTTAGGGCACCTCATATGGCTTGCAGTAATTATATTGCACTTCTGTGAATTGGGGAATGTGCTTTTTCTCTGCCATGTGATAAAACCACTTCCCAATAAGAAACACTGGCTTTGAGACTGAGCTGTGAACCATCATCGTAGGCTGCTTTACAGTATGAAGAAACTGTAAAATTTTTTAAATGAATGGGTTTGATGTGTGCTTGCCATGCTTTCCCAAGTTAAAGCACAACAAATATTTTGCTATGCAGTAGTAATTCTGGGACAGTGTCGACTTTAAAATCCCGTATTCAAGTTCTGAGCTTGCCATATTGACTAACATTCAAGAATGATTTAACTGAAACACTGTTTCAGTGTTTCTGCAAAGTTTATTATTGATAATTATTCATCTCAAAAAGAATTATGAGGTTGAATTTAAGCAGATTAAGGAGGAATGAGTTACATTAAATCCCACAGAATGTTAGATTTCTGTCATGAATAAATGTTTTGGTCTTTGCTACTTATATGTCTAATGGA